ATAGATAGATAGATCGATCGATCGATCGATCGATCGATCGATCGATCGATCGATCGATCGATCGATCAGATGGTGGTAGGATGAGGTGTACCATGAGAAGTTGCAATTCCTCATTATTTTAAAATCCAACAAAAAAATAAGACAAAATCTACATTTAATACCATCCACAGTTTCTGTGACAACCCCAATAACACATCTAAATAGTGTTATTAGACCAAATACGTATTTTAACTGTGGCTAACCATCTGGACATGAAAGTTGACAGTAAAGATAGTGAAGAATTCAGGTATAAGACCGTTTTAGCTGAAACCAGAATAAGAACAAACTAGGTAAGACCTCACTGAGCTCCAGAGTACACCAGGTCTTAAACTTCATTAATCAGGAAGGTCCTGGGTTCAGGTTTCTGCCAGGACCTCTGCATGGATATTTTGTTTTCAACCAGTTCAACATTGCTTTTTAAATTTTAAAAGACATCAACTCTTCTCCTACAGAGTCACTGATGGGTATTTATAGGCCCAGTATTCATTCAACAATACCACACAGGCCTCAAAATCATGGATCATTCTGAAAAACACCGTAGAGGCTCACCTCGGCTGCTCCTGCAGATAAAAGGCAGAAGATCAGAGCAGTCCGTCCAGCTGAAGGATGGCAGCTGATCCGACCAGCCCTGCAACGTCCTGCAGCCCTGGAGCTCCATCTGCTGGAGCGCTGCTGCTCATGCATTCAAATTGTTACAAACATGCACACAGACACACACACATATATGTAACACACAGTAGCAGAATAATGGCTTCAGCTTTCAACTATAAGATTATTCTGAAACATATTTTGGCAAAGTTTGAATTTCTCCAGAATGTTTACGGTTCACAATTATGGGGAGCAGAAAGAGGAGGTGCTGACTGCCAGACTGCTCAGTTCTAAATGTCTTAACCTTTCACTGTCCTTTACTGACTGCTCCATGAGCAACAAGACAATTTACACACATTTTACATAAAAGACTCAACAGTGGTGCTGAGGTAATCACTGCAAAGGTACTTCAATTCTTCACCTACACAGCTGCAAAAAAAACAAAACAAAAAAAACAAAACATCATTGAACATATTTTAAGAAAATCTCAAAAGACAAACACTCCAACTACTTTGGCCACCTCATGGCAACAACTCTTCTTTGCAGAGACTTTGTAATTCAGTGACATTGGAGGGTTTTGGGCATTAATATTTCTCATGAAAATCAAGCAACAGCATCTGAGTCAAATCATAGTCCAGACTCCTGACGTTTACTAGGACACTTCAAAATTTTATATTTTGTTTTTTTAGCTGTTCAGCTCTAACTATGTTACACGCCGGGTTTCTGAACTTTGTTTTTTATACCCAAAGTGATGTAGTTGTACCAAGCAATACCACTATAGGAAAATTCAACTGCTTAAGAACCATTTGACCAAAGAGGCCAGTAGAGAGATGGCTTCGGGCAAATAATACCAAACTAAAAGAATTATACAAAAATGTCAACATTCACACAGAATTATAAATATAGAATCCTAAGCAACCAGTTTAGACAGTTCACCATAAAAATGATTTGTGGTGAGTTTCACTTTAATTTACAAACTCTCATGAAAACGTTTGAAAAAAACTTTTTCTGTTTGGCAGAAATTCCTACAGTACCTGTTGTAGTAATATAGGAAATGTATACCATCACAGGTAATGATGGCCTGCAAATGTTGTGTCAAACAGCCTGTAAAAGCATTGAGTGTACAGAAATGTACATACTTTTCAGAGCCTTATATTTGTGCTTAAAATAGCAGTTTTTGATTGATCTAATGTGATATTCTAACTTTGTGGCATTGAATTTCCTTATTTTTTTTATCTACATTGATCATTAAAATTGCAAAATATTAAAACTTGAAGTAATTTACACTATGTGTAATGAAAAATGACTGTTTTACTTCAGAGATGACTAGCAAGAAACATTGTACTTTTATGCAACTTTCAAGTTTTTTATATCTGCTAGTACATCCAGTCTATTCATAATTTATAAATGCACTGGCAAAATACATGTAGAAATGTTGTTTTAATTAGAGATTGGTAATGCACTGTGGCTCTGTTTGGTATATTGACCTACTACACATTTACTACAAAAGCAGCAGAGAGATAAGAGACAAATTCTACTTTAATGTAATCAAACTCAATTCTAATTAAACTTCATCTGTTAATGTGTTTCATTGAATGAAGGAGAGTTCAAGCAAAGTGAAGCAGGTGTTACCACGTTTTTTACTGTCATTTCAAGAGAATTTTATAAAAATTTGTAACAGGTTGATTGGCTGTGAAAAACAAAAACCCAACATGTTTTGTGAACTTATGGTTTTATAATTAGATTGTTATCCTACCTGGACAGAACAACGGGGCCTTCACCTTTTTGACCACATGATGGCTGTCTATGAGGCTGAGGTTCCAGCTGAAAAGTTTTTCCCGTATTGTGGCCGAACACAAATTCAAGGCACGGACATGCCTCGTCTCCAAAGAAGCGTTCCATACATTCAGGTCAGTGATGTTCCCAAAAAAGGGTTCTGTGAAATTTCCTCCAAATGAGTCTTGGTCCTGACCCAGGATAAGAATACCATCCCCGTGTATATCCCTGTCCATGTCTGTACCAGAGCCTGTGTCTTTCCTGTCTCCGTCCACATAGATAGCCCAGTGATTTTTCATCCGACTCCATGTAACACAGATGTGATGCAATGCACCATCATTAGCAAAGGATGCCTTGTATGGAAAGTGTTTTCCATGGATTATGAGGGCCAGGTGGATACGACCCTGCGTGTCCACTCGGCCTCGCAGTTGGAACTCATTGGTCAGGACAGGTGCAGCGTAGGAGAAGACTGTTGATACATCAGTCCACTCTGTGTCCCACTGAACTCGAACACACACGCTGACAGACGACATGGCAGGAAAAGACACATTGACACGAGCAAAGCCTTCATGGGATTCCTTTGGAAATTTTAGCACTGAGAACTCCAAATCTGAACCCAGTGAAAAAAAAAAAAAAACCTTTTAGTTCAGGGAAAATTTTGATTACAGTTTTGAAGATCCCTAATTCCACTTACATTGCCTGGAGAGAGCTACAGGCTTGGATTCTGCTCTGGGGTGATCTTTAACCCAGACTGGAGAGCGAAGTCCAGCCTGCTGAAGGAACTCGACGGTCTCCTTCTCGTCCTCTGACCGTTCCAGGGTGATCAGAGAGCTGAACTGACCCCTGCAGAAACTCTCAGCTCTGGAAAAGGGCAGCGAGTCGTTAAACAACTTCAGCACCCATTGTGATGTAGGATGGACGAGTTTGACTTGCTCTGAGACACAAAATTGAGCACATTACAGATAGTTGATTAGAAATCTTCTTATCAGTTGGCACATTTTTCAATTTCTAAATGAGAAAAGTGCCAGAATAAATGAACACTCTGTTCCCTCACCATGGGGCTGCTCCATTGTTTCTGGCCCAGCATGTGTTGGCTCACCATCACATATCACCTACAGAGAAAAGATTCCAAGTTCATCGTTCTTATGGAGGATGTTCCACAGTGTTCACACTTGTGTGAATCATGGCTATTTATGATACATTTGATACAATGATTTCAATTTAATTTTTTGTGACCTTTGGAGAATAATAATAAAAAAAAAACTGACTAAAAATATGACTTCCATTACACAGTATATTATATAATGTGAACATTATTACCTCCAACAAGAGGAGCACGAGTCCTGTAAGCAAGATCCCAGCCATTTCTAGACAGAAGAAATGAATCAGTTGAGCTACAAAAATGTATTTTCACTGTATCCACGTGCCATCAGTTAATGATTGCTTTAAAAACATCACTATGCAAAATTCACTGGCAATAACAGCACTAGAAACACGCATGCAGAGTTTTAAAATGACTCTCCCCAAGCTCTGACTCTCAAAAATTGCAAAAAGGTATTGCCAGATTCATCTGCACTCAGAGACCGCATTCATTTCACGTCACTCTGGAGATAATTGCCAAACAGCGAAACATAAATCCAGCTCTGGCTCCTCATACGGTACCTCTGTGTCAATGTCAACCATGTCCTGCAGTGTGTACAGTCTCCTCAGAGAGAAAGAACCAGTGCTCCCAGTGCATCTGCCCAAGTCCCCGTCTGCCTCCCCTTTCTGCTTCAACACTCCTCCTTGCTTTCCTCCCTCTCGTCCAGCCAGCCTAAAGCAATCTGCTTTTGTCATGCAAAGAGGGTCATTTTTTAAAAAGAACTCCACTTGCGCAAGCGGTGTCAAGCCTTTGGCACAGAGAGTTCATGAACAGCAGCAGGAAGCTTCACATACCCACCACTTTGCCCTTATCTATGCTTTCAACAGGCCACTCTGCTCAGTTCTGGTCTGATGCAGCAGGAGAACGTTTCACCAATCGAGCCCATCGATTATTACATCCTTGTTTGTCACTACCATAATCTCTGTTTTAACTATATCTTTGCACCATGATGTGGATCATGAAAGGTCTGTGTGAAAACAAACATCTGAAAACCATGTGACCGCTCACCAACAGTTAGACTAGTCCGACCATGATGGGGCTTTTAGGATTCATATATGTAAGAAATTTAACAAACAAATCTCTTACCAGGGCGCTCCTTTTCTCCAGTAATACAAATAGGCCACATTAAAGCCATAAATCTATTCTTTCATAGATACAATGAAAGCATACCGACAAAAAAAGTAAAGAACATCTAGACAATGTTTTAGAACATACAGTGTTAGAGCCAGTGAATCAACATAAAATGAGTCATATTAACTCTGTGTGTGATGGCAACTACAACTAAGCTTTGTTTCACACTGAAAGATTCAAATGTGTCCAGTTTAAGTTGAAACGGGTTCACCCAAAAATGAAGGTTATCTGAAGAATAAGAACCACTGGTATGAACTCAAACCTCTGAGGAAAACCCTCTGATCCTCTTTCCATTGTTAAAGTGTCCAAACAGTTATTATTTTTGAAGGCCTGTTGTTGAATTGATTTTTGTCAGGAAATTTTTTTCCATTCTTACCAACTGGGGAAAAAGGCAGTCATCACTAAACAGCACCAAACATTTGACAAGATAAAGGTGACAGTTTTAAAAGTCATTGTTGCCTTTGAATCTCATATTTTTCAATATATTTTATTTCAAGGGTCAGGGGTTAAAAATATCAGCTGAAAAAAATATTGTAGCTGTTTGACCATATTTGAAGCCTCCTTTCCAGATCATTGAATTCAGCTTTTCCAATCACTTACATGACCACAGGTATATATAAAAAAATCCTAAAAACATTGTGCATACTGTAACTCTAGAGGGCTCCATTTATTTCAGCTTGGTATCATGATCTGATTCCACCTTTGCAGTAAGTCTAGTTGTGAAACTTCTACTCCACTCAATCTTCTACAGGTAGGAGATTGTGATATCAGAACAAACTGGAAGCATTTGTCAACAATAGCAACTCATCCATGAAGGGGAAGGTGAGGCACTAAGGAGATATCCCTCTTTCTACAGAGTGAAAAAGAACAACCTATTATAAGCTTCATAAATTGGTTTATGTCTAGACAAGCTGCAGGGAGAACAGTACTGGTCTGACTGCAATGTGTGTACAGTTTGGTCCAGAGGAGATGGGCTTAATTCCAGTGGAAGGAATTATTAATATTTCAGAATACCAAGAAATTTTCCGACCTCACATCTTTTCTCTTCCGGTCTTCGTTTTTTCGCGGTCTTTGAAGGATCCGGTCTATGTAGGATGGGTCATTCGAAGGATGCAGATCCTGAACTCGGACATGGCTTATGTCTGAGCGCCAGGAGAAGTTTTGAGTACAAGCATTACAAGTTTTGAGAAAAACCACATGAAGTTCTGCTTTCAAAATAAAAATGTTAGCAAAAGTACTAAAGGTTTTGGGAACTAAAGACATTAAGTTTTTATTTCAGACTGAAAATGTATGCTCTTGGATTATGGCAGAAAAATTCCCTCAGATTGGAGACCTTCTGTTGTTGAACCTCTCTGGATGTCCAACACACATCTACCTGTCTGTTCATCCTGCAACACTCAATCTCCACTGCACTCCTCAAGCAAAATCATCACCCAAACCAGTTATCCTCTTTCTGCCTCTTCCTTCCCCAGAGCAGAAAACTGCAGTAAATTCCTTGTAAACCTGACAAACATAAAGGCCTGAGTCAGTGACAATAGAGGAGACCATCGTTAAAAAGACCAACAATGCACATTCCAAGTCTAAGTGTATGATGTTGAGGCATTCTTTTTACAGAGCAACAATACATTGCTTCAAATGACATAAACTTTATTAAGTTTTTTACAGAGTTATGATTTCTTAATAGATACTTTTATGGTATTTTAAGGCATAATACTAACAAGATCATGCATTTAAAACTGCTTTAAAGCGTCTTAAAAGATTTTGTCCTCCTGATCTGGGCCTCATTTTCATTGTCTGAAAAGCTATTTCAAAGTCTTTTTGCTAGATCCAAAAACCAAAAAAGAAAGTTTCAACTTCAGAAGATTAACATTCAGAAGAGGGCCATTCATTTTTGTGGGGGCTGGTTGAACACAGCAAGCAAACAAAAATAAATCTTCCAGTGTTTGGACCACATTTCAGGGGAGCCAATTCACACCAAAGCCCCCTTGAGGTAGAATACTGTCTGGGTTTTTCCCAGTATTTTGAGCAATCTACAATGTTCTGACCAGACTCTTCTGGTCAGGTCGTAATAAGCAGAGACTCGCAAAAGAGAAGTGGACTAATTGACCTCCCTTTTTCCCTGGCTGTTACTTCACTGTAACTCTGCACCCACTGCCACCCAGCGCATTTCCATGACAACCTGTGGATTGTAAGGGAGGTATGGAAACGTCAAACACTCTGTGGGCGTGCTTCGTTGCTCACAAAAGGCCAGTGACATACATGTGGAGCGAGGATGAAGGCTTTTCCCAGAAGAACCAGCCCAGCAAGAGAGGACAGGGGAGAAAGTGGTGACAGCCCCCTCGGCTCCTCATTTTTAATCTCAGCCAGCTGCTCTGTTGCAGAAGAGACCTTAAATAAAAATAAGATTCTTCAACATACACTGGTAACATAAAAGGGGAGAGGAGAGCAGATGTATTTTTAAACACGCATCTACTTGAGAGAATCTGCTTTGCTCTTGTTTCGTGACCCAGTAATAGTTTTGGCATAGAGCAAAGATGGTACCTACCTGACAAATCCAACCACATACTTAAACGGCACAAATCAGTTGGTTAGCCTAAAAGCCCAATATTTATAGGCAGACATTTGTAGAATCCATCCTTGTTAACAAACATCTCTGGTAGGTCAGCAATCAGTGACCATGTTTGTCTGGCCATATCTGGAGAGAGCAGATAGCCTTTATGGCTGCCTGGTTACCATCAATCAGGCCTGCAACTGATAAACAGCAGCAGGGGTCATGCCATTACCATGGAGACTAGCTTTAAAAACAGCCATATAAACAATATATAGAGCTGGCATGACACAAAGAAAAAGAGAGAGAGGGGGAGAGGGCCGAAGGTCCACGGTTAGTTTTCTGCCCTTTGGACAGATTTTGACTGGAGGGGGACAATGTTGGGCGGAGTAAACTGCCTTCTTTTCAGAGAGGCTTCATAAAGTCATAAACCAGTTGAGTTTCACACAGTTTAAGTTTCCCAACATCAAGTTATTTACAACTAGAGATGCAATGATCAAATATTGATCAAGTATTGGTCCCCATATTGACCAAATTCTAGATTGGGTATCGGTGGCAGTGTGACCAATCTATGAGGGTAGATCTATTCAGTTTAATTCTGTGCTTTGTGCGTTGACCAATGTTATGCTTTATTATTTATTTTACATTATATTTAGAATGCCTAGTTTCACGTTCTGAACCATTTGAAAGGTTTGTTGCAGTTTATTTTTATGTTTAACCACGGTATTCAACATATTGTTTTCATCAGTTTCATTTCTTTTTTATTATTTATTTTACATTTACTGTTCTGTTGCACTGACTGAACAGATTAACGATGTTTTTACATGTTTGACCAAGCTTGTGAAGCAGTTGGTGTGTTCCAGTGTGCTGTAGTGATGCAGATTATCAAATAACTTTGTAATTCAGTACATTTATGTCTGTTAAATAAAAAAACAAACAAACAAAAAAAAAACATTCTAAATCAGTTCAGCTGTTTTTCTGTATCTGATCCATATTGGCCGTAGTGTCGCACCTATGATGATTTTTTAGTATAATCTGGAAGATTATATATGACAGTGGATTCAGAAAACACAATGCTGCCATTTCATAGAACGATGGGCAAGAAGGAAAACTAGCAAGTATCTTTCAATCATCTGTTCATAATTCCGAACCCAAATTTTAATTCTAGTTCTTTTGAATATCTAATCCTGTTTTTTTTTTATTAACCAAAATGCAAAACATAAAACTTTGTCACTCAACCAGCTTCTCCTCTTTGTTAATTATTTCTCAGATTTACTGTCTGACCCTGTTGAATATGAATACTCTTCTTCAGTTAGAAACTGTAACGTTTGAAGATTGAAAGTTTTAACCTAAATGAAGTCTCTAAAGCCAAAGTATGTAACCTTATGAACAATTTGTTTCTTACATATTTGTTAAAACTGTCACTATGTTGTGACAGATGTGAGATAGTTCTGTGAATAGATGGATTTCCTCTGCCTCCTCCACATGGCCCTGCAGCTGTTTCCAGAAGACACTGTTCAATAAGAAACAACCCTTCAGAGCCAGGATCATGTTTCCAGTAACGCTAGGTTTTCTTCTCTACCATTTTCAGAGCTGTAGCACATACAGGAATGTGATTGACAGCGCTAAGACCCCACCCTTGGCTCTGATTGGTTGTTTCTGACCGGGTCCTGAGCATTTCTGCAGACAGCTGTAGGAGAACAGAGGGGAAGGAAAAGAGCTGGAGTTTTTCACAGATTACCTCTTATGTTATACTGTCATGAAAAGGTGACAGTTTAAACAAATATGTAAAAAATATATCTTGTTTATAAAAGCTATATACTACAGATTTAATGGAGTACCAAATATCATAACAGTAACAGAGAAGAGCAACAGAATCTTTTGGTATGTTTTCATTATAGGAGTCTTTTCTAGGAACAAGGGGGCATTTCTGAGGTCATTACTACCCTGTGGTTCCACAGCATTTACCAGAAAAAAAATAACTTGGAAGGAATTTCAAGTTATTTCCATGCATAGTGTTGAAGTTGCATTTTTGAATTACTATGGACCCACTGAGCAGATTCTTAAAACAAATCAATGTTTGTTTGTTTGTTTGTTTGTTTTTTGTCATTTTTTATTGAGCTTAATAGAAGTAAAATGATTTTTGAATCAAAAGACAAACAGTCTAGATTCAGGACACAGTTTCTGTTATTATAGCTTAAAACTAGAATTCGGGCCCAAAATCTGGATGTTGTGATGTACTTGAACCTGAATCTGCAGAGTCACATAAAGACAGATACAAACTTGGTCTTCTGTCACCTGAAGAACATTTCCTGGACTAATTTCCTTGAACATCCTTAAAAAACTCTTGCATGAGTTTATCTTTAGTCTCATTAATTACTGCAACAGTGTCTTCATAGGTCTGCCTACCCAAACGACCGGGCCAGAGTACTTTCACCATCACTTTGTTTGTTCAGGTATCATCTTCCTCCTCCAAAAATTTTCATGCATTTTCTCCCAAGAATAGTAACCCTCCAGCAACGCCTGTGTAGATTGTGTGGGCCCACCTTACACAAACAGAGAACAAGCACCGAGGCTGGGGTGGCGGGTTGGGCTTGTTGGCGGGGCAGAGCGCCCCCTACTGGAAGGGCAAATGCTGTCATAGGAATGCATTGTCATTTTGTGACATGGTGCATCATTCTGAAAGAGAACCACATCTCTACATGTGTGTTCAGAGACAGTGTTTCATGTATTTTGTAAAAGGTATTGCTATCTCAAACATGTCTGCACATTCTCTGAAATCAGATATCAAAGTGTGTGTGTGTGTGTGTGTGTGTGTGTGTGTGTGTGTGTGTGTGTGTGTGTGTGTGTGTGTGTGTGTGTGTGTGTGTGTGTTTTATACACACAACTGCTTCTCATTGAATTTTCCTCTTTTTTTCCTTTTAAATCTTTTTTAAATAATGCAGCTGACACAAAAAAAATAATAATTTTTTTCTTTGTGAAAAATGTATGTTACCTGATACAAAAGAAAACTGTAGTTTTTAAGAAAATGGCCATATCAATTAGTTGATTGGTAACATGAATCAACATTAATTGATCACTTGAACCCCTACTGTAATCTGTTGAAATGGTCATCCAAGATGATTATCAGTTTCTAAAATATTCAGGGCTGCTAAACACCAACAACCATTGGCTGGTCTGGGACAAAACCATTTCTTAAGAGTTCCCACCACAGTGTTCTACAGCTAGTGGAAAATGATTTAATATTTACTATTAAAAACACGACTGATACTGCATTCTTTCTTCTTTTCTTCCATGTTCTTCCTTTTTCTCTTCTTCCCTCTCCATACTTTGAATTTTTAAAATTTTCCTTTTTCGAAACGGCACCATATAATATTCCTTCCTCTCTGTTTATATTAGAGGATGCAGCAGCTTCAATGCCGAAATGCAACAAGTTACTACCATGTGATTGGCTGATTTGCTATTTGGGTAAATCAAGCAGAGCATCTCATAACCAGCTTATATATTTATAGGCCAGTATTCATTTAAAAATGATCTATAGTAAGTTGAAAGTTGTGCATCAAATTTTTTTTATAAAAATAACTGAAGTTGTTTGTTTGATGATCACTAGAAAAGTATTACTTTTCATATTCATCTAAATGTTATTTAGAATAAATGTATATTATGATTAGAATTTGAATTTTTTCCACTGTGAATCATCTATAATTCATCAATGTAATGATGCAGCTATATACACTTACAAATTTGTCATGTGAAACAGCTATATTTTGAGTGTTCTAATACATTTTCAAAATAATATTTGGTGTATCTGGTTTAAAAGTCCTACATTAATTAAAATTTAATTCATGAGTGTAAATAAACTTCTAACTGCTTTTGTCAGTTTAGTGCAATTATGATTTAACATATGATACAGTTTCTATCAAGCTCAGTACTGCAAAAGACAGATACTGCATTTTCCTCTGTGAGTCATCAACCCATTGTTACATTGAACTGATGGACGAACCTTCACACATAATTAACATTTCTTGAAGAAGAGTTATCTTTTCAGAAACATGTGACGAGACAAAAATAAATAAATAAATAAAAACAGCTGGGCTTGGCCACACTGTGTGTGTGTGTGTGTGTGTGTGTGCGCGCGCGTGTGTGTGTGTGAGTTCAGCTGCGCTGATAACTTGGATAACCACGTTGGGCTGCAGCTTCCTCATCATCCACTGGATGGTGCTGTGGTGTAATGGCTGAAAATTAAACCTGTGTGTGTGTTTATGTGCATGCGTGCCCAGGAGAAGCTGTCACAACATCCATCCCTGTTGTTCCTGTACATCTGTGCTTATCGGGGAGCACACAGGTTTCCCGGTCCCGTTTTACCTGCAGTCACCTGCAGCCGGCCTCCGCTGGGATGACTGAGGAGGAGGTAATTACACAAGCAAGCAACAGAAAACAGATGTGCAATTATGAGAACAGAGGTTTGCACTTAGCCTGCTCATTGCCCCAGCTTCCATGGTAAAATTCACAATGCGATCTGCTGCAGCCAAATTTACTAAGTTAATTAAGTCCTCATCACACAGAGAGAGCTGTGAGCTCTGATCACTGCAAACATGATTCAGTTCTCTGGCAGGAAAAGCATCACCTTCCATTGTAGTTAGTAAATTGGATAAATGCTGGTAATAGACTGATAGACTGGAGGCCTTTAAGGGACCACAATTATTATAACTGTTGCTATGTGATCATTGGAAGAGTGACCGGTAAATAAACATAAATTAAATAAACATCCATTTAGATATTTGCATCTCAACATGCAAATATGTAAATCCAGTTGATTGGATATTTATCACTATCAAATCATCTGGGTGTAATTTAATTCCTTTTCAGCAGAGCAGAAGGTCAGATGAAGCAGAATGATTCTTTTTTCTTCTGCAGCTGGATGGTTTAATGCTGAGTGCTCCTCAACAGCCGCAGAGCTTCTCTTTCCAACTTGCTGGCACAATATTTGCGGTAACATTGGTCACAAACAGTGTGTGGTAGATTCCAATCAAACCACAGTCACTGTTAATACGGTGCCGCCAAGACAGGGTTGCCAGTTATTCACAAGGCTACTAGTTAAGTGGGAGGATATGCAAGTGCCATATATCTAAATCCAGCCAGCACAAATAAGCCAAACATTCATTGCTAACCCACTGTGA